CGTGTCGCTCCACTCTACCTACAAGCACAAAGCCGGCTTCCAGCCATACCCTCAGGGCAGCCGGTCCCATCCCAGCCCCCCCAACTCAGCCCCACGCTACCAAGCGAGCCAGGCAGAGCGCGGAGGGGTCGGGCACAGCCAGCTTCACCTCCGCTGCCAGGGAAATGAGGGGAAAATGAGCTGAAATGTCTTGGCTTTAGAGTTTTGGTTCTTTGCTAAACCATCTCATGCAACAGTTCAGCCAGTGAAAAGCCGGATCTCTCCTCTGGGATGGGGCTGATCTTAAATGCAAACGTGTCCCGTTGAAGGGACAAGGCACTGAAAAGCAAAACTACATCACCCACAGTGGCAGGGGCACCACGCGAGAGTGTTTGACAGAGCCGCTGTCCTCCTCGTCCCAAACGTCGCTACAGATTGCTTCCCAGCAAATAATACTTGAAACCGTTTGCCTGTGCAAGGAGCTCCCACTTTATGCTGGCCACATACGTCGAAGCGAGGCCAAATTCCGAAAGCCCCCGCAGAGGTCACCAGCAGCAGCAGAAGCAACAGCACAGGAATCGACCCCGCTGCTTCCAAGCCCAGCCAAATGCCCCTCTCCTGGGATGGAAGCTCTAACCTGGACACGGCAGCTTCCACCCCCCAAACCCACTGACCGAGGGAAGTTTAAGGACAGGAAAAAAAAAAAAAAAAAAAAAAAAATGGGGCTGAAGTGCAGTTTCTGCTTTGGTTATTGCCCAGCTTTGCCCTGGCGTGAGCAGATCTAGTGTTTGGGGAAGGTCTTAAGCTGCTCTTCCCCTTAAGGAGAAGGAAAGTTTACCAGGTTTCTCCTCTGCCTTCTGTGGCTCTCCCAAGGGTGTCTGAAAACACCCTCCCCGTTCATACACAGCTGCTGTTTAACCAGAAAGCTTCCACACGCTCCCGTGGTCTGTCACAAATCAGCTCACACTTGGGAACAGCACCCGGACTGCAAACTCGGCCATGGGGGGCAAAACTGGGGCAGCGGGGGGCAAGGAAAAGCTGGGGCACGGAGCCGAGCGCAGGACCCCAAGCCTCGCGGGCCACGGGAGCGAACGCCTCGTCCCTCCCTCCCGGCAGTCCCACGCACGTCAGCCTCTCGTACCCAAGCGCACGCGTGCTTTTCCCAGGGGAGTTCGCTGCAGCACCTTCGCTCTGTCCCAGCTGCTCTGCCTCCGCTAAGAGGAATTCATGGATTAAGGATGATGGTGAAGTGAGAAATAGTAACAAACGAAATCCGAATGCCTTGCTGGCAGTCCAGAATTAGGGTAAGCAGGGACTCAAGACAGGCTCCTCAAGTCTGGCTCCGAGCAAGGTTTGGAGCTAGGTGCACTATCCGCTGGTGCTGGGCAAGGGCTGCTTTCCCCCCGGTCCCCAAGAGCACCGCCCGAACGTCTGTCCTGATCAGCGTCCTCCGCAAGGGCCGGAGGGGTCTCTGCCACGCTGCTGTTTGCAACGCAGTTCTTGCCGCTAGGTTTTGCTTGGCTGTCTGAGCCCTCGACAGCCTCAGTCTGCTCGGGAAGGGAAGGGCTGGGGAGGGAGGCCCCTTCCTCCTGCAGCGGGACGAGGGGCGCGGCCGGTGCCGCTTCTGCGGTGGGGGGAACATCTGCTGCGGCCACCGCAGATGTGGAAGTGACTTCAATGGTGATGGAGCCCACGGCCGTCTCCGGGTGGTCGCTGCTGACTCTGATGCGGGCAACCAAACTGGAGGCAGCGGTAGCATCCTGAGGGTTCCCGTTGGCCACGGCTTCGTGCACCACGTTTGGCTCCAGGAGCGTAGTGCTCAGGTCGGAGAGAAACGAGGCTTCAGTGACGATGGCGGCCGTCTCGGCTACCCAGTTCAGATCGCTGCCAACAGAAGCTGCCGTGGCAGCGGCAATGACGCTGGAGGCCTCGCTGGGAGTCAGGGCAGCCGGGCTGCTGCTCTCTCCAGAGGGTCCGGCGGCCAGGTGAGGTCGGCGGCTCCCCACATCGACGGGGGCTGCTGTAGTGTTGTTGTTGAGGTTGTCTTGGAGCGTCGTCTGAGTCCCCTGGCCTACCTGCTGGTTCTGCAACAGCATCTCCTGGATCCTGATCTGCTGGAGAATGGCTGGCAGCTCATAGTGATGGAAGAAGTAAATCATCGAATGCTAGAGAAGGCAAAGGGAAAGGAGTCACTCGTCGGGCCTGGGCTGCGAGCCCAGACATACCTTAGAAAACTGTGCCTTCCTCTCACTGTAAAGACAGCGGAATTTGGCTGTTCTGATAGCCAAGAGGTTATCTGAAATTTTGGAAAGATTTATTCTTTCTACTACAATTCCCGAAAGCTGCTTTTATAGTTTTTCTCTGAAGACAGGCAGTGGAGTACAACCCCCCCTTCCTTTCTAAGGGCTGAGAACAAGAAGGGTAAAGGCACTTCTCTGGCCCATCCTCAGTTCCCTGCCTCCACCCCGAGCAGAGAAAGGGGGCAGGTCATCAGCCAGAGACACACAAAAGGTTTGCTTGAACCAGGATATCGGAGACAACAATTTGGAGCTGGTCTTGCCAGCATCTTCACTGCCCAGACCTGACCAACTCCTCAGCCTCTGCTTGGGAGATCCTCAGTGGGATTGCTTCCAAAAAGACGGGATAGAAATTCTTCCCTAACACCTTCTAAAACTCACTTGACATCAGCCTACTGTCAGTCACGTGGCTGGATTTGAGCCAGTAACCAAAAAGTCCTGCTGTTCGATAGCTTCCTTCTGCCGTTCCATTTCCAAACCAGGGATTATTTCAATCTCTTATATAAATACAGACTGCTACTCAAACTCAGCTTGACAAGAAGTTTGATCAAAACCAACTGCAGTTGATTTCCGTCCCTTTTTAACAGCGCAGGCGGTGTGAGCAATCAGCAGTGTAACAGTTTAAATCGCAGGCAGGCAGACCCCCTCTGAGGCAGGTGGAGGGACCAGGACTGAATTCACAGGATGGCACCCACCTCCCCACGGCTGGTCGCACTGACATGCGGCAGAAGCGGTAGCTGCTCACCTGGATGAAGAGCCATGAGGTGACGAGAGCCAGGCTGCTGTACTGCCCGTTGAATCGATAGTGGTAAGCATAGAAGGCAAAGTGGTACAGGTAGAAGAACCTGGACAGAAAGGCAATAAATATCAGGATACGTCAACAGACGGGACAAACATGAGTTTCTTTCTACTCCTAACTCCATTCCGAGCTGGGGCACTTTGCGCAGGGTGGTGCAGATTCCCGTTAACAGGTAATCAGAATCGCCTCGCTACGCACAGGTCTTCAACAGGGCAAACCAAAGGATTGAGGTGATCCTCGAGACCCAAGCATGAGACCCAAAGTGGAAGCGATTGCGCTTTGGACCCTACGACACGCAGGGCAGCTCCCAAGGAGACATACAGAAGCGCTCAAGAGTGGAAACTCTCCCGCCTGAGAGGGCTGGAAAGGATCTGAAGCAGCCTTCTCCCACCGGAGAACGGGACATGCGGTGAGAACGCGCAATACGGGAATGAGATCCCAGCCAGCTCTTACCTGAGCCAATGCCTCTTGCTCGTATTGGTGTGGCAACAGATAGCGTCATACTGGTCAGCCAGCCACACGATAAGGATGATGTAAAACGCAGTCGTGGTGTCGTTGAAGAACTCTGACATAATGGCCTCCATACCTACAGGACAGAGGGTGGCTGACATCAGCATGCCGCAGGGCACAGACACCAGTTTGGCAAAGGGGCACGTGAAGGAATCCTCTGTCATGTCCAGAGCTGGGGCTGCACGAACGTACGGCAAAGACCCCAGCAGGATAAATCAGCTCTGCTTAAAGCAGCAGCTAAGGGCAAACATGTGTCACTGCTGACTGCAGTCACTACACAGGCCAGAGGATCAGCTGGTTCTGGACAGCGCAGATTTCAGGGTTTTTTTTTGTTGCTTGTTTTTTAAATTCAAATTGTGCTAATGCAACGTGGTCACAGGAAGTGTGAGTCCGAAATGAACTAAAGTGACAGACAAAGCTTCAGTTTATGTGACTTCCAAATAAACTGCTTTTCCAGGGGACCCAGAAGGACAATGCAGCTCACTGTGTCATCAAATTCCAGAGCCTTCCACCTTGTGATGAGCAGACACAATAACCACCTGCCGTGGCCAGGTCAGAACAGGGAATTATACTTTCTACAGATCCCAAAGGGACTTGCTGCACAAGAAATGTGCTCACGTCCTTACCTACTAGAGCCAGAATGACAGTGAGGAGGGGAGCTGCAGGGAATGCGATTGCCATGTTCATTTCCAGCATCTGTAACAGGTCAACTGCAAGAAGGAAAACATGCTATAACACAAAGTGGATGTGTGGCCACAGAACCCTCCACCCCGCCATCACTCCCCATTCAGAACGCTGCAACGGGCAGTGAAGTCCACTGCCCCAAGTCCACCTTCCCCGATACTTGTCAAGACAGAACAGCTCGTGTGAGCACGGTGACGAGGGTATAGGGGGGGGATATATTTCCTGTGCAGTGACATGCAGGACCCTTCTAAACGATGACAGTCAAGACTATATACATGATACACTGCGCTGGAGCAGGCAAAGTGTCCAGGACACCCTAAACCCCTTAGAAAATCCTTACCAATGAAGACAAAGATCTGATGGTGCGAGTAGCGCAACAGCATTGAAACGGACAGAGTCTGAAATACAAGAAGAGAAGCCAGCATTAAGAGCCGCACAGGTCCAGGGAGTCACTTTCAGAGTCACGCTACGGCACAGGCCAGGCCAGGCAAGCTTGGACTTGCAGCGTTGCACAGCGTGCTGTGCACATCCCATGTTTGCTAGTTTGAGCTGTGCAGACCGATTTCCCAAGGAGTAATTAGGACTTCACAAACAGGAATTAATCTTTGTATTACTGAAGTGAAATAGACAGTAAGTAATTTATTTGTAAAGAGACCGATTCCGAATATTTGAGCAGGGGCCAAACCAAACAGCAGCAGCAGAGCTGGAACTAGGGTTTCTTCCTGTCCTACATCTGCGCTCCTCCTAGCAGCTCACAATGCCTCTCCAACAACGGTCACCCACCGCTTGCTTCCTCCTCTCTCGCTGGCCACAATATTATTGTGCAAGGAGCTGCAGCAGTGGACGGTCTGACACAAAGGGAGGCAGTCACCCAAGACTACAAACACAGGCTTAGTTATCACTTGGGATCTTGTCTAATACTTATCTGTAATCACCTCACACAATCACAGGAGAGCCGGTTCTATCTTGATCGCTCCTGGCAAATTAGTTAGACCTGTTCTTAAAAGTCTTAGGGGACAAACTTCTTGGCACCCTAAGTGTTTAACTACACTTAAGAGGCTCTCAAACCTGAATCTCCCTTTTGACAAAAAAACCCCATTATTTCATTCCATTTCAGCTCCTCTGTTTGTTTCACTTCTAGGACTTTAAGAACCCACATTAAAAAAACAAACAAACAAACAACAGAGTAGAACCTCATACACCATTGGCTTAGCTTTAAAAGCAGATGTGAGCTCAGGCCTGTACTGTAACACCAAACATACGCTGACCAGAACCAGGCTCAGAGTCCAGGCAATGCCTGGCTCCTGTTGACTTACAAATATGACCATGATGACAAAGGCTGCCAGATACGAAGTCCTAGCCATCCACATGCTGACAAAGCGATAGTGCTCCCCAGACACCACATTGCGAAGGAAACCTGGGAAAAAAAAAGCCACAAGCTCAGTATGATTAATCCACAACTAAAAACAAACTTCCAGTGCCTTCTAAAGAAATAGGATTTAAAGCAAATCTACGGCAACACCTCCTCACGGCAGCGCTCTTGTTGTTATGCAGTGCAATAAGGCAGTAGAAAAACATGTTTGCAGACATCTCTCCCCTTCCACTGATTTCATTTTGTCCTTGGAATAAGGCAGTAGAAAAACATGTTTGCAGACATCTCTCCCCTCCCACTGATTTCATTTTGTCCTTGACAATAACATCCCTACGTAACACAGGGAACTGTTCCCTGCATAGAGATTAATCAATAGTCAGAAGACGATATTCATGCATCCATCGTAAAAACATAAACCGCTCTGCACAGCTGCTGAAAGCGATTCCTCCAAGCCTTACCTTTGTTTTCTTCATTTTCAGCTAAAGCTTTGACACTTGACATCAGGATGTCATCATAACCCAGGAACTCATCCAGCAACAGGCGGCTGAACCTGTCCCCAAAGCACTGATCCCTGGTAGGATCTAGAGAGAAGAAAAAAAAAAAAAAAAAAAAAAAATTCAGGCTGTTCATACCTTAAGCCACAGAGGTGGCAAGGCGGTGGCAAGCACACAGTCGTCTCATCACTCAAAAGGACACATTTGCCAGCAGACCTGCGTCTGTGCTCGGACCTTTGGCAGTATAACTAAACTGGGCAGCACTGGGAGGGAAAATGCTGCACCCTGACAAATCGAGTCACACTGTCAAAATGCTCACGTCAATCAGGCCTTCAGAATTACATCAGGGCTGTCATACTCTCTGTTGGCACAGACACAAAGGGAGTTTGCCTTCTAGGCTTGGACTATCTCCCTAGGCTCACCCAAATAATGTCCCAGAGAAACAAGTTCTGGTTTCTCAGAGGGCCAGGCCGAGACCTTTTAGCCATCAGCTGGCCTCAGCACGGCACTGCTGGGCCCACCATACCCGGCCATCCTCCCGCAGCAGGGGACACGCAAACGCCTCCCCGCAGCTCCGGGCACCGACCAAGGCCATCTCATGAAGCTGGGACTGCATTCTCCTGTACAAACACTGATCAGCTTGTAAAAATAACCCAAATCTAAGCAAAACAGGAAGCATGAACACAAATAATTTTTCAGTAAACTACTAGGATACTTATGAAGGAATCTGTCTAGCTGAATTGGAAAACCCAGGTCAGTAAATAGACATTTAACATGGAAACTGCCCATTACCTACGCGGGATCACTGCTTAATACTCCAGCCCAGCTATACTTCAGTTTGATTAGGAGTAATGAACTCTAGTCTGCTGCACTACAGCTCGTTACAGCTCAATTATGATTGCAGACATGAGAAAGTCTGAGACCGTATTTCTGACTTGGACAGGTTTTAATGGAGTAAATACCAGGAGAAGAGAACGCTGTTCCAGGAAAACAGTCTGCTGGTGCTAACAGGGGCACAGAAGTACACTGAGCCAGCACCACGCAGATCTGCTCAGCATCATCCCTGACACATGCACAATTGCTCTCGCCACTGGGCTCTAACACTGTGCTGCTGCTGCTCCGTGCTGAGCCTAGATCTTCCGTACCAGGAGGCCCTTCCTTCCTCAATGAGAAAACCGCGCTGGACATAACATCAGGGCTCACTGAACCAGCCTCCACCATTTCAGACTACTCCTCTTGCAAAGGTATGACCTACTAAAGCAATAAAGACTCCATAAAGCAGCTCTCCTATGCGGAAAATGAGCGCCATCAGCTGTTATAAATAGTTTCCACAAGACTAAAGAGGAAACGTGCGTAGGTATCTCTGCAGAGCACTTACCCACCCCTGCACCAGAGTGGGCTGGTTCCCTCACTCACCCAAAGTCACCACCATGACGGGGATGCTGAGGCGCTGGCGAGTGCTCTGGGACAGGCGCAAAAACCCGTACTCCAGCGAGTACTCCACAATGTACTCTTCCTGCGGCCACACTGCAAGAGAAGGTGGGAAGGGAGACTCAACAGCAGGGTTTGCAAACAATTATCAAGAAGAAATAGCACCTCTGGATTCCCTCCTTCCCTCCCACCATGTTCTGGAAAAGAATCAGTTGCAAACACAGGCTCCAGGCTTCCTTCAACCAATTTAAAACAAATCAATACAAATTCTTTGAAATTGCGGCACATTCCCTTGACGTTAGTCCTTAACGTGAAACTTCTGGGAAAGCTTCAGGGCAGTGGTTCCAAGTTCTGTCGAGCATTGTCCAGAATCTGCCCACATCTTTGCCTGGCAAGCCCTAGACCACTTGTTCTTGCTCTGTTCAATTTCTGCTATGTTGTTTAGAAAACAGCAGGAAAATACACTTTACACCTGCTGAATACCAAGTAAACACTCCACAGGGCAAGAGCACCGCACTTCTCAGGAGACAGAGGTCACTGCTGCAATTACAAATCTCAAAACTAAAGGCAGGAGCAATTACGGCTTTTCAAACAAATTCTGGTGCCTGAAGATTCCTTGATTTTTTTATTTACTTTTTTTTAAGAAAGGTTCAAAATAGATGCTTTTTGCTACATCATCTCTGAAAGGACAAAACCGCCTGCTCAAGTCGGAGCCAAGCAATTTAATCCCCGATCTTTCAAACTGTCACAGTGTTATCTTGCAAGAGGCGAGGGGAGGCAGCCGTCAGGCATCTCACAAGACCACAGCAAAAAAGTTAAAAGGATACCGTAACTTAAAAGCAATGCACCTGCCTCTCCTGACTTAAAGAGACACATCACTGAGAGAAATGCTCACTTTACTTCCCCGCCTCTGATCCCACTTCCTGGACAGCAAACACGGGCTGGTGTGTTTGTTTCATCTTTTGTTTCCATTATAAAACAGTTTAAAGCTCAAATAGAAATAAAGTGTTTAAGTATCAACAAAAGAATTACATCCTTTCCGTCATAAAACATTTTTCTATGGTAAAATATTCTGCCTTAACATCAAATTTGGTGTACTGACAGCACAAGAAACCTGGAAAAACAATAAAAACAGGTATTTGGGACCCGTTTGAAAGGATGAATTGTTTAACTACGTTGGGAAGCAGCACAATTCTCTCTCCCACCACGTTGCTGGATCATTTCCAACCAGGCGTTCAGCAAATCAAGGCACAGCCCATGAGTGCATACAGCACTGTACAACGTGACTCTCTTACAGGACTTAGGCAACTATTAATAAAGGTATTGCACCAAAAATATTTACTGTTCTCTAGTCTTATGCAACTGAATGATCTTAAATTCAGGACTAATGAGTTCTGGATCAGCATCAAGCAAAACCACTGCAAGACGAAGGGAACAGTGCCACTGCAGTGTCCAGTCTCACAGTCCTCCACAGCTAGAACACCCAGTACTTCTGAAGAGCAAGGAATTCCAGTCTTTCCAGGGATAAAAGCATAGGTGAAAAAGGTAAATTAAATAAGAATCCAATTGCCACGTTTCTATTTTAACATCAATATGTTTTAATAGATTGCCTCCCCTAACCACTAGAAACAGAAGTTTTCCAACACTGGAATTCCATTTTAAATAATACAAAGCCACTAAATCTCCCACTAGAGTTTATGAGACGTTAGCAGCTTAAGTCGTGCTGGAACAAGGGGAGGGATAAAGCAGGATGATATCCTGAACGAGGCAGAGCAGCAGCGCCGTATCTCGCAATCCACTAAAATTTGCTCAGTGGCTTTCAGGATTAATTAGCTATTCCAAGTACTGGTGTTGACTCAGGGACCCAAAATACAACCCCTGTTAATACAAGGAGGAATGTGCGCTGTCAGTGGGATCCCTGCAGCTCTTGAGAGGACAGCGAACTGCGCAGAAGAGGGAGGTTCACATTCATCTGTGATATCTGGCACCGATCACTGCAGAAACACTATGCCAGACCAAGAGGCTTCAGCAAATTTTATAGCCCGGACGACCCCCGACTCCCAGCCTCCCTCCAGCCAAAGGAAAGATCTCGCTGGGGATCTAGTGTTAGTATTGACAAGATTAACCACAGGTGAATGCATCAGGGAAGCCATTTAAGGTTACTATGCAAGTGCCCGGAGAAGCCAGAAGGAATGAGACGTGCAGGGAAGATGCACGGGGAAGGAGGGAGCACAGATAGCAGTGTAAGTTGTCTTTACCTGCTCTGGCTAGCATCTCAAACTCGGACACAGTCTCCCCCAGAGGCTGCATACCTTTAGTGGCTGCTTCACTAAACGAGAACTCCTGGCTTTCGTTGTGGGTCAGTGCCTCGGTGCTGCTCACCCGGGATGGCTTGAGGAACACCTTGGGCTCGATATCCAGCTCAAACTGTTGGGAAACCGTGGCAGGGAAAGTCATGTTAGCAGTCACTTCAGTTCCCGTCTTCTGTGCTCCCGGTGAAGGCCTCCACCGCCAAAAGCAGGGCAAAAGAGGCTGCTTTCTCAGGCTTTGCTTTCTATCTTAAACCATCAGAGGCTAACGTGGAGACTCAGGAAAAGCCAAGGAACATACTCTTGTTTCCAGGTGACTGAAGGACCACAGAGGCATACTTAAGATTCTAACAAACCATTTCTCCCCAAACCGACACCCAGGTTCCCATCTCCTGTGTACACATGGAACATGTCTTTACCTTGATAGAGCTGTTTTCAAACATGTCCACAGTCATCTCCTCCTCTTCCTCCTCCTCTTCCTCAGCTGTGGACTCAACTACCATTCCTGGGAACTTCTCGACACCGCAGAATTGCAGGAAGATGGGGGCTCGGCTTGAGTTGCGCTGTATTTCCACCCGCAAGATGCCATCGCGTGGCCATTTCTCTCGCACATGCTCCAAGCAGTTAATGGGTGAGCGGGAGAAGGCGATGTGAATGTAAGCCAGGATGAAGAGCACAAAGAGAGCCTACAAGCAACAAGAAACAAAGCAGAGACCATCAGCCCAACCAACTGCAGCCTGTTTACAGGCTCCCCAGTTTTAACCATCTCTTCTTTGCCCATAAAGACGCTGGGTTAATTTGGACCAATGGATTTGCAAGTGGACAAGAGCTTTTATGCTTTCCAACCCCAGTCGTCTCTGCATCAACAATAAAGCAGCCCAGAATCAGGCAATTCCAGCACTACCGTATCAACAGGGGAACACAGCAGAGACAGCAGCAAGAACAATCTCCTTCTGTTCACAAGACCAGAGCTGCCATCGCTACCTGTGCAGTACGTGTGTCCTGCAGAAAGCACAGGTCACACACATAGGCCCCAGCACCACGTAAGGTCCTGCAAACGAACACCATCCCCAAAACGACTGCACCACAGGCAAACCAATCAAACACAGCACCAACGTGTGGTGAGGCTCCAGAGCATATTCAAAGAAACAGAAACACATCCGTGGCTTTCAACCATTCCTTCCTCAGCACAAAGTGTTTCCTGTTGAAGCCCAGAGAAGACTGCCCAACTTTACAAAGGCAGAATAAAGCAAACCTCAACAAAAGACAGCCCACCGCAACAGCAGGACAACACAAACCCATGGCAGAACCACCAGCTCCGCATTCAGATTTGCCACTCGCCGCTGCAAGGCACGGTCTCTGCCACAGCGGAGGCCGAGCCGGCCTGCCGAGGCTGGGCTCGCGGAGCATCACCACTACCTCGCCCTGGCTCAATCCAAGGAACAGCCGTAAAGTCACAGCAAAACAAAGTGGACTAATAAAATGTGTTTCCTATAGTGAAGGTAGTAAACCTAGCACGATGTTACCCAACCCTGCCCAAAGTTCACAGCTGAAAGCTCCAAGAAACGCTGGTAAGCAGTACAGCCAAGTTCCATACACTCACTTTCCAACTGGATTAAGATGCCCATTCCTAACTAGACTAGCTGTCCTTGCTACCTTTCGTTCTTGACCTATTTGCTATGAATAAACAGAGTGGTAAACATCACATCTGCAGAGGAGCTGCATAGGAAGACGCTAGGGAAGGTGAATCAGAAACACCTCCCTCATCGCAGGAGGAGGCGCGATGAAGCCGGCAGAACCTCGAGCAGTTTCGGGACTCCATGAACACCAGTGTGAGGACCACGGTCTCTGACTTCACCTCCAACCAGTGCCCTGCGCACAGACCAGGCTGAAGTCTGGCTGACTCCTAATCCTGCAAGCGGGAGCAGGCTGTTCTCTGCAGATGGCCTGCGCATACTCTTACCTCCTCAGGAGTGCTTTGATAAAAGCAGACAGCAGCAAGAACCGCTACCAGCCAGACCACTTGCTCTGCCTGACAGCCTCACGGTTAGCACCATCCCCGTTCCAGTCTCCCTGTCTGCCTGAATCCAGTTACACAACAGGGGGAAAAAAACCCAGAGATGTTAAAACCTTGAACATTTCTTGGGAGGGGACAGAATGTATATGTGCAGTATGAGACAAGTTGTCCTAAATGTTATCTTGCTTCAAGCGGGTGAATTTTAGAAACTCGGAGCAGAAGGGCGCTGCCGTCACCTGGCAAGCTCTTCTCCCCCCTTCCCCTTACTCTTAATTTCCCATACTGATGAGAAGCATCAGCCTGCACCCTGGAAGCCACGGTGCAGGATTTAACCTACGGGTATTTTGCCCCGCGGAGACCGACAGGCGCCTCTGCGGGGCTCCAATCCTGCACCCACATCAACAAGCAAGCAGGCGGGTTTTTGCCCTGTTACGCAGAGGTGCGATACTGTGCAGGCAGAGCCGAGGGTGCTGACTGCTAAAAAAAAAAAAAAATTGGGTTAAAATGGGGTTGCGCATTAATCACTTCCAGAAAAGATAAGACTCTGGCAAAGCTCCAACAACCAGATCTCTCACATATGCAATGTATCCAAAAAGAGTGGCTGTTTGGAAACAGAAACAGAAATCTTTCATGCCTATATCCATGGGCCTGACCCACACCAGTCTGACTGCCCAGCAAGCTGGCTCAATAATTTCCTTTTTATTTCCAGATCTGGTACCAGAGCTCTGGTGGCGTGGGGACCACCACAGATCGTTACAACTATTCAGGTCTTTCTCAGAGACAAGAGGCCCAGGAGAGCGCAGTGGCCAGCTTGGGGTACGTGGCCCAAACACAGGCTGTGACCTCTAGCAGAGCCGAGCCTTTTTGTGTTTATAAGGAAATTTATGCCTTAGCGCCGGACTGCGGGCTAGCAAGAGGAACTGTCCGCTCCTCCCCATAAAGCCCCCGTAAAGCTGCCCCTCACCTTGAGGAGGACGAAGAACTCGAAGACGCGGCGGAAGGAGGGCGGGAAGAGGCGAGCGTAGGTCACTGCCATCTTGAAGAAGAGCGCGTGGAAGAGGCGATCGCGCACGTTGATCAAGGGGTTCTGGTTG